CCAGAGACACTGCAATGCTTTAATATAACATTGTTCTTAGTAATTCTGTCTTAGGATCTATAAAATTGACAAACAAATATTTAATACAGTAACCAGATATGTACACTGGAAAGGCTGGTATTGTTAATGCATTTTCAATGGCTTGAACGACACGGACAAAATTTTCTTGAGTGTTAAAACCTTAGAATACACCAGGTTTTCTTCTAGCATCTAAAAAAATACAGATACTTTCTATGACCATCTTACCCAAAATTGGAATAACCATCTCACCCATTCTCGCCAGCGAAAAATATAACATTGTTTTTCTCATGTGAAAAATAAACAATAACTTCGAGATAATCAGTCATTGTAGGGATTATAAGTGGCATTATTTAACGTCATACCGTTTTCGTGTTACACATGTTAAATTTATAATAAGTATAATAAAATCTTTTATTGTAAAAGTTCCTTTCAAAGAGGCAGATCAACGTCAGATATTCAAGTTACTTTACAAACCTCAATTAATAAAGCTTTTGCAACCAACCAAAAACTGATTGCAATATTTTTTTATATAAGCCAAGCTTTTAAGGGAACGTAGAGACACTGCATTTTAAAAAATCTAAGCCATAACTGGATTCAAAGTAACATACTATCATCTTTAAACATTTTTTTTTAAATAATTGATCAATAGAAATTAGGATAAATGGCTTTAAAAGCTCAACAAGAATAGATAATGAAATTCGTCAAGGTTCCGTAATAAGTCCAGCATTATTATTAATTGCTATCAGTATGCCATTCATTAAATTAGAGCACCTATTAAAACCAGTATTTATGCAGACGACATGGTCGTTTATACTAAATCAAACAATATATAATAATTGGCAACTAAAATTTTAGAAACATTTTTAACTCGGCTTGAAAATTGGACGTTAAAAACTGGGTTTAACTTCTCTACAGAAAAAACAGTACAAAATTTTTAATAAAAACAGAACTCTGTATTCAAATGACCTAACTTTAAATACTTTATCACTAAAACAATCAGATGAAGGTAATTTTTTGAGTTTAACTTTTACCAGAACCTTAAATTTGAACTTGCATATCAACAAACTACAACATTATTGTCAATCTAGGTTAAATATACTCAAAATTCTGTCTAATAAAGTTTGGAGCGCAGATACTAAAATAGTAATAAACTTATATAAATTACACAGCTTTAAAATTGGCACTTGGTGCATTTAGAACTAGTCCTACTAGTAGTCTACAAGTTCTAGCTAAAGGGCCACCTGTAAACATAAGGAAACAAAAATTATCACTAAACTATTGCCAAAATTTCAATTCAAAAACAACATATTTTTTTCTTTTAAATTTTTCACCCTGACATCTCCTTTTGTAAGAAGACAACAAACTGTATATCTCTAATAGAAAAAATAAAAGTCACAAATTTTAACATGGACCAACTTAGTATATTGCTATATACAAATTCCGTCTCTCTTCCATGGACAACCTACCTATAGGCTATTTATTTAACACTAAGAAAGTACCTCAAATTAAATACAAACTTCTCGATAATTAAACATCTTTTTAAAGAAATCATTACCCCAACTATTTACAAATCTTTACCGACGCCTCTAAACCCCAGATGGACATGCTGCCATTTACTATTCTGATTAAGAAAACTTCTACAGCACACACTTTCCTACAAATTGTAGTATACTCACAGGCGAGACCACAGCTATGTATATTAAAAGTCTTAGCTTTTTTCATAACGGGTAACACGATGAAGAGCGTCATCATTACAGATTGACTTAATGCGTTATTAAAATTAAAGCAAATTTATACAACAAATTCCATTATAAAGTCAATAAAAAATGAATACAGAAATACTTCATTCCATGGGAAACGACACAGCTTTTATTTGGGTACCATCACACACTGGAATCTGGGGAAATAAAAAAGCAGATCAACTAGCAATTAACAAACCGTTTTAACATAGAAGATACTACAAAAATTACAAAATATCCTTATAGTAATATGAAACATCTGAATAAAGTTCATTGCAATAATATTTGCCAAATTTACTGGAAAAATTCATCAACCAAATTAAACCCAATATGCTCAAAGTTAAACAGCTCTTTGAATAACCCCACAAGTTGACGAGATCAAGTAATTATAAACCGTTTAAGAATAGATCATATTGCTGTCACACACAAACTTTTAATCAGTAAAGATCCACCACCAATTTGCAACAACTGCTTTACTTCATTGACAGTGAAACACTTCGTGCTTGACTGCCCATGTTTCCAAAATCAAAGAAGAATGCGTTGAATTTCAGATGACCTCAAGTTCATCCTGACAGATAAAAATTTAAATTCAGATAACGACATTGTTTTGTTTACCATAGAAATTAAGATTTACTGCCAGCCCATCTCCAGAGTATATTTATTCTTCTTCTTTCATTTTATAGCCTCTACCTCTAAGCATATTTATTATAATGTTCTAAAACTTATTTTTTGGTTATTTTTTAGCATTCATAGCAATACAAGTAAAACGCTTTAATGTCACTGAAAATTGTACAAATTTTATACTTATAACAATAATACAGAACAAGAAAGTAGAAAAAAATCAAAATAAGATTCGCTTGTACTTTTAAATAAAAAAAACAATAAAATTCTTCCAAACTTAAACATAAAAAATACTACCTAATTAGGAACACAAACTTCGTAAAATGTACCTAACAAAAAATAAAAATTAGGAAAGCAGATTAATAAATTAAGGGCTCAAATATTCCACCTTCTTGTGCTAAACATTAACCAAATCTGTCATACAGATTCCTCCTCATATTCTGGAGTAGGGCTGGTGTAATGCTTGCGGGGAAATGAAGTATTTTTGCCCTTAATTCGACTAGGTTTGTGGCCCTTTCAAACAGATGCCTTTAAATGTTTTCTTTGAGAAAACCCAAAAAAAAAATCGTTAGTCGCTAAGTCACAGGATCTAGCGGGCCATTTAATTGTACCACGTGTACATATCAGTCGCATTCCATGCTTTTTCATTTCCCCAGATTCCAGTGTTTGATGGTATATGTATCAATCGATCAGGAAACGTTTGATTGAGGAAGTCAATAGTTGCTCTAGAGTTTTGAGCCGAACACCCATCCTGTTAGAAATAAACCTAAAAGTTAACGGGATGGCGTCGAACTGCCGAAAAAAAGTTGTAAATATTTGGGCCCGTTTAGGTTTCCATCGATAAAAAATGGACCGACAATATGGTCGCTCAACATCCCAGTCCAAACAATAACCTTTTGCGGATGCTGCGTTCGCACTGCAACACTGAGGTGATTATTTTTTCGAGAATAATACCTTGCAACGGATGGATTGAGTTTTTTATGTAATGAAATTGAAGATTCATCAGAAAATAAATATTTTTTAAAAAGTGCACATTTTAATTCTAACGTTCAATCTAACTTAAATTTACAAAACTCCATCCGCCTAAAGTTATCTTCTGGAAACAGTTCTTGTATTGGTTGTATCTTAAAACGGTGATACCCAGCCCTTTTGAGAACTCGCTGGATAGTTCGAGTATTAACGTTAACTTCCCTAGCAATTTGTACACTATTGCAGGGTTCACTAGCTTCCACAAAAGCACATCCCTGTTTTGACGCTCCTCATCGACAGGTCTAACACGTGGTTAATTACTTTCATGACACTTTTTACAACTGTTTACACATTTCGAAGTTTTGAAAATGTTTAATGGTATTTTTAACTGTTGTTACACTTGGTGGGTGGTATATTTTCAAAAGCAACAATAAATAAATCAATTACTTCGCGTATCGAATGACCCTGAAAGTACCATGTTATCTTCTTCTTTGAGTGCCTATCCTATCGGAGATTGGATATCATTAGGGCGATTCTAATTTTATTTACTGTTGTTTTGAATAATTCGTTAGTGGTACAGCCATATCACTCTCTTAAATTTCTCATCCAGTACATTCTTCTACGGCCTGGATTTCTGCGGCCTTGAATTTTTTCTTGCATTATATTTTGTAGGAATGTGTACTTTTGTCCTCTCATCAGGTAGCCTAAGTATTCAAGTTTTCTCTTTTTTATATTCAGTATAACTTCTAAATCTTTATTTATTTCACGTAATATCTCTCCATTTGTAATTTTATTCACCCAACTTTTTTTCGTATACGGCGGTAGCACCACATCTCAAAGCTTTCAAGATTTTTAACATTCCTCTGTTTAAGAGTCCATGCTTCAACACCGTAAAGCAAAGTACTGAATACATAGCATTTTAAGATTCTAGTTCGTAGATGAATACTAATATCCCGAATACAATATAATTTTTTCATTTTTATAAAAGTAGACCTGGCAATTTCAATACGTCTTTTTATCTCGTGATTTGCTTGATTACCTGTTTTATTGATGAGGGTTTCCAAGAATTGGTATTCGCTTACTTTTTCGAGTTGGGTATACCATGTTATAAGTTGCACTTTTTCTTAGACGGTATATAACGCAATAGGCATTTTAGTAATTATTTGTATATTCCTTCAGAACTTCATTTGTAATTTTTAATGTCAATGTGACAATTACGACAATTTGTACCTACTTTGAAATAAATATAGAGGTGAAAACTTATAACATGTCACAGCGATTGCCATTGTGTTGTATGGTCAATAAAACAATCTCGTAATCTGTACATACATTAAATTATTTAAGAGATATAAAATTGTATTATACTATTTAACGTACATTATCATATCAAAAATTATTGTGTTTGTCATCCCACTAATAACCCTGCATGGTTGATGTGGAATAAGTGTTTTAAATAAAAAATTAAAAAACAAACTTTTATTCACAATATAAAACTTTTTTATGAAGTATTTATTTCTAACATTTTAATGGGCATGTTTAAATTAGATCCTAATGCAAACTCACTAACAAATATTTGGATAATCAAAAATAACCCACTTAAAAATACTAAATATTATGTTTCTTTTATAAATACTTTTATAATTTTAAAAGGTGCGCCTCCCAAGCCACAACGAACATACAGAAACGGGGAGGCGCTTCCACAGTCCAATGATGGCCCACCTAGACCTCCAGAACGATTTGTTCCATTTCAAAGGCCTGCCAACCCAATATACAGTATACCAGGTGGGTCAACACGACCTCTAACACAAATAAGATTGGATTTATTATAAATAAATATAAATTTTTGAATATACGACTACCACACTAAAGTAAAACAAAAATATTTCATTTTTAAGTTTCTTATCAAGAAAGAATAAATCATAACAAAATACTGTCGATACGTTAAGCTGTATCTGTTATAAATATATAGTGATGTCACATCACAACTAAACAATAGTAAGCGTTGCTTGATTTTATGTTTTTCTGTTTTAATATTATGCATGGCATGGACTGTGTCAGACTAATAGTTGTAATGTAAATATGTATGTCTATCTGGATATTATCAAAAAGTTTTACGTTTCAAAAGAATCTCTGACCCATAATGAGAGAAATCTTATAATAAATAACAATATTTTTTTATAAAAGATAAAAAAATCTGAATAAAACTTTTTGGTGCAAACATTTAATAAAAAAAACAACGAGGAGATAATAATTGTAATCATGATTTGAAAGACCTAGGCCGGACAGCAACAAAACAGTATTCTGTTTGCCTTCAACCAAATGGTCGGGTTCTCAGATGAGTACCAGAAACACATTTATAAATGTATTTTTGGTGAAGTCTAATGTTCTGTCTTTTATATAATTTTTAAAGAAAAGAAAAATTTTGGATTTTTCCACCAAATGGGATCTCTCTTAACCCTACGTTGGTAGCGTATAGTGTACTAACGTTGTTGGTCGCGTGGAGTACAATCGTAATCCATTTTGTTTCAAACGTAAGATGTCTATTTTTTTAAGTAGAAAGCTTTTCATAGTTAATAAGAATTTATTTACATAAGCTTTGCAAAACTATATTTAACTTATGTATATAAAACATTGTAATTCACTGTGACAGCAAAAACAAAATCTTTTTGTATTTTTAGACCTTTATTTACACTTTGTTAACAAATAGGTAAAAAAACTCAAACGCAATTTTCAAAACTTAACTAGTTTTTCATATTTTTAAACTATAAACATATACGAATGAAACCATAAACTTGTTTGACAAATATATACATATAACATAAAAAACTATGAGTGGTAAATATATCAAATAGTTTACTCTGACAAACATGCCGTACAGACATTTCGCATATGTTCTTTACAAGCATGCTTGCCACATTGTTGGCAAATTTTTCTTGTCGATTTATTATGACTTCTTGGACAAATGTAGCAACGACGAATCACATTTATCGACATATCGGGAGGGGGTGGAGAGGGCAAGTCTTCAAGCCCAAGTAATTGACGTGCTCGACGTCGAAGTTTCTTTGGTATAAAACGAATAGTTGATCTTTGTTCGATTTGTGGTTTGATAAGTTCCCACGCAAATGTTTCAATAAAGTCAGATCTTTGAACTTTCTCTTCAGGGTGGGCGGCGTTATAAACACAGCAAGCATTTATCGTGGATATGTTCAATAGATTATAAAACACTACCATTGACCATCGATTTGTTGTTGGTGCTGCGGTATAATTTAGACACATCTGATCTATAAGATCAACGCCTATTTTTGTTTTATTGTAGCACGTTATTATCTCTGGTAATTTCTTATCTCCACTTTCTGGATCAATGAAATCGTCATTATGTAATGAAGAAATTAATAGTACAGCCTTATTTTTTTTGGACAGTATGAAACTATGGTGTAGTTTTCTTGAAAACCAAAAAGTGTAGTTTTCGGTTCTCTAGCTCTATCTTTTCGTGGTAAAAATTCTCTTGAAATTTCACACTTGTTTTTATGGAGGGTAACAACATAGGCTAATTTTTTTTCTTCCAATAATTTTTTTACTAGTGGTATACTTGAAAACCAATTATCTCCTGTTATGTTTCGGCTTGTTCATTCTACAGGGTGCACTAATCTGAGAACAACATCGCATGGAGAGTTACTTACCTTGTGAGGCCGGTCAGGTTGAGTGCCCCTCTTAAAGTTTGAGATTAAATGTATAAGCTGTTTTTGCATCTACCAATGCAAACATCTTCACTTCATACTTCGCTGGTTTATTAGGAATGTATTGTCTGAAGGAACAGCGACCCCTAAAAGCCAATAATTGCTCATCTATAGTTAAGAATTCACTGGCAATAAAATTAGTTTGAAATGTATGAAGAAACATTTCAAAAACCTCTCTTATCGGTGCAAACTTATCAATTTCTCGTCTGTCGTTCCTTGTTCTGATATCAGCAAACCTTATACACCTTTTTAGAAATTTAAATCGGCCCTCGCTCATAGCATACATAGCATGCTTCTACACCACTGCCTTTTGAGTTATCCCATATTTTGTGATTATGTTTTCTGGTACTTCTCAATACCCCGATAACAAACAGAATTCCTATAAATTCCCTAACTTCAGTTTCATTTGTTAGTCGTACATCTCTCTGCTTCCGAAATTTGTCCTTGATCTTTTCGATGTATATGTTCGTTGAATTTGTTATTATTTGAATAATAGTATCAGTTAGATATATTTTTATACAGTCAGTCTCCGACACTGCATTTCGGTCATTGCTTTCTGGTCCAGGAAGTAATTTTATGATATTGTGTGAACGAATACGAATATTTAGATTATTTTTGGTTTTTTTTTCCATTTTGTTGATTTATCATTTCCCAGAAAGAAATTAGAAGATGTGTTAAAGTTTTCTTGGTCTTCATCTGAAGAACCTTCTTGTTTGGAATCTGTTTAATGGTCACTATTGACTACAATATCTTCTCTTCTGATCCATCTTTATCTTCTACGTCCAAATCACTTTCTTCTTCACTTGACAGCTCATACCATTTAAACCTATCTTGAGGATTTGTACTAGTATGCAAACGTTGTTTTTTAGGTTCAGACATTTTTCTATCTGCAAGAAAATAAGCAAAATGACAGTGCCACTTAATATAAAAAATGTATAAACTTTTTTACTTATTGAATATTACGATTTATTCTAAAATTAACTTACCTAATAAAACTTTACACTCGGCAGAAAACCAAAAATACGTAACGTGCTTTGTCGCGTGGATTACAATTTAATCTATTATCAACAGTTATACTCAACAACTTAACAGGATAGATTCCCCACCACGCTAGTTTTTCAACGGTCATTATGAAAACAAGCGTGGACTACGATTGTAATCAACGCGACCAACCGAGGGTTTTAAGTAGTGGTGCTTTTTAAAACTTGAACGTAGCTCTGAGAATGACTTTGTAAGCCGAAAGCGTTTAGCTAGGACTAAATTTTACACACATTAAAAATACTTTTCTTTTCAATTCTTTGGTTAAATAGTTTATTGATTCTGGAATATCGCTATTATTATTTTCAAAACTTTAACTAGGGAAGGGCTACTTATCAGAAACAAGCACTATCGATTGAATATCTTCCCTCTATATTACTGCAGATGATTCAGCTATTCTGAATATCTCTTTCTTTTGATTTTGTTTTTCTTCGCATACTTCGCAGCTTTGTTAAAATGTCGAATGCTGATTTTCTTTAAAGCAAATAAATATTGAACTTTCCAATGTCTCAGTTATGATGATTCTATTATCATACTCCAAGTATATTGTATTTATATTAAATGCATGCAATTACACTTCTTGCTAGCTCATCAACTATGTACCTTCAAGACGACGTCTGAAGTATTGAAACTTGGAATACACTACGCCAAAGATGCTGCGTTTTTTAAATGTTAGACGCTTTATATGTTTAATTTTTTCAAAACAAGTATTTTTTAAAACAAAAAGAAGAATAGTTCCCTTTTCTATTCACTGCAACAATGCTGCTCTTCCGACTGTACTTTGCGGCACTAATAATTGATACTTACAGATTATCTTTTTAGTATCACCAAAAATATAACTTCTTTTATTACATGGATCGATTCCAGTTGTCAGCACAAGATAAACAACTACCGTTTTACCTTCAGTCAAAAATGCTCTGCAAATGAAGTTAACTTCTGACATATTTAATAAATTTTGTAATAGCACAAAGAAAATACCATTTACAAACTCATCTATTCACTACAAAAAACCGTTCAAAACTGACTGGATTTACTAGAGTGTAAAGTAACTTGCCCGGTAGGGACGTTAAGGGTTAATAGAGAAAAGAGAATTTAAGATGCAAGAAACCAATTACAAACTGGCGCTATAGATAAGGGAGGGGATATATTTAGATAAATAAACTGATAATTGAAACGTAGCGATGGAAATGACAAAATTTGGTATGAAAAGACAGAGGACAAATAAAGGACGTCAACTAGTCCTTTTTTAAGGGACGAGGAAAACTCGACACTTTACCTGTGAGAAGATTGTTTTAAGAAATATTCTAAAAAAAAGACATATATTCTTAACCTCTTTAAAACAACTTTGAACTAGAAAGAAAAAATTTTTTGTTAACTCACCAAATAAAATTAGTTAATAGTAGTTAATAAAAATGCTGCTAACATATTTTAAAAAATATTACTATAAAAATGTTCTTATCTAATAAATATTTCTCTCAAAATTTTAATATAATTTTGAAAAAGTTTCTTAACACAAAAACAATTAAATTTATAAATAAGTTAGAATAGCGACCAATTACAATTAAGCCTTAATGTCATTAATGCCAACTTAAAATTTTTATTTTTGACAATTATATTGCCAAAATTTTGTTTAAAAATTCTTTTTTGTTTAGTAACAAAAAAGAAGAAGATTTATTCACCATTGATAGATGCCTGAAAAAATGTAACAAATATATGGAAAATTAAATCAAAATGTGATATTCTACTGGTTTCATATAAAAACTACAAAGAAATAATATAATTATAAATTTTGTTTAGATTTTGAATTTCTGATCTTTTGTTCAAATTATTATCACTTTTGCTAACACAAAACATTTAATAGAAAGTCAATTTGAATTTATTATTTTCACTACACAAAATTTTATTGTTATCAAAATCCATAATATGGTCTTTGTCGATTACATGCTCTGCCAAAGCGCAAGATGGTTTTTTATTTCTGCAATCACTTTTGTATCTTGTACGATTTCG